GGCTGGGGATTCGAACCCGCCACCTTAGGTGTACGTGGCTGGCGCCTTAGCCGGTTGAGCTATAGGCGCCGGGCCATATTTCTTTATTTCTGATTTGGATTTTTAAAATTTCTTTTTCTTTTCTGTTTGCTCTGCCTAGAAATTCTAGTACTGTACTGAATAATGGGCATCTTTTTTTTTTCTCATTTCACAACTTAGAGGAAAGGCTTTCAGTTTTTCCCATTTAGTATGATGTTTGTATCTGTGACTTATACTGGCAAAATCCAATTATAAGGAACATGATTAGCAAGCTGGTTTTTCTATAATAAAGCAATTGGACTGTCTGCAGATGGCCTACAATATTTTGTTTATTAAATTAGAAAGAATTATCTTCCACAAATTATCTTAACAAATTATGTCTTGATCTTTGCTCTAGCATAACCAAAGAGCTTTATCTGCAAAGGGCTATGCCAGTTTTATTGCAAATGTTGGATTGGATTTTACTTTTGTTTGTTTCTTTATTAAATGTCTGTTAACATGTTATTCTTCTCTCTTTTAATAAATGATACAGCCACCTGTGTAATTAAAGTAATATACCACCTAAGTATTTTCTTGCCCCTTTCAACCATCCCTTTCATGTCAGTGTTTCATTTGTATTATGTGCTATTCTGATCTATTATTTTCTCACTTGAATATAGACTTGGTTATTTTTCCTTCACCATTGTAATACTCTCCAATTCCAGGTTTATATAAAAAGATTTTTAAAACCCCTTTTATGTCATATATTCAATTCATAGTTTTAGTCTACATTCCTCTTTCCTTCCTTCCATGAATATTTATTATTTATTATTGCAGACATCATGGTAAATATGTGAAATAGTAGACATTGACATGGTATGGCCTTCATGGAGCTTCCATTCTAGTTGAGGAGACATTTAAAAAAAAACCCACTAAGTATAATACAGATAAATAAATAATTGTTTTAAGTGCTAAGAGAGAGAATAACAAAGATTCATGAGATTTTGCTGATCACTAAAGGAAGAGATGGCTCTTGCCACATGAAGGAGAGGAAGAACTTTTAGAAGAGGAAAAAAAGCTTTTAGGGAGAAATTAGATATAAGGAAGAACAGTGTTCTGAGAATTTGTTTAGCTATGTGGAGAATGTCAAAACAGGAGTTTTGAAGGATAGATAGAGGATAATGGGAGGCATTAAATTTCTTAGAAAGGAGTTTGGATTTTTCTTTAAATGCATAAGAAAGCCAATGTATAGTTTGAAGGAAACAGTGATATTAATTTCTTTTAATATTTTAAGGGGAATAGATAGTAGCTTAAGCTTCACAGAGTAGGGACTTTTGTATGAAGAGAGGGAATATTTATTAACAGTGTTCAGGCATTGGAGTAGGACAGAGCCAGGTTTTTGTTAAAGCTACAGTATAAATGGAAAGTTCTGATAAAGCATATGAGGACTTGTCTAATCATGGAGCAAGAGTTCTTGGGGATAACAGGATTCTAGATAGCAGCCTGGACTGGATTAGATGTTGAGGGCAATATGGGGTTAATGGTTGGGATGATAATATATGCTTTGGGACACTGGACTTCCTGCAGTGGCTATCGTGAACACGGCTATTAGGCAGGCTAAATGTGCCCTTCTGGGATAAGGAGGGCCATTTGAATTAAATATGCCCAAGAAGTCTTCTTCCCTAGACTGCAAGGGCTCTTACATAGAATCGTGAAAATTTATTGTTTCAGAGCATCTAGAAAGAACACTGTCTCATTTCACCTTTTTTTTTTTTTTTAACACATGCCATAGAATGTTTTTCCTAACTGTATTCCAAATTGTATGTTTTGGAGTGAAAATATTAATCAAAAAGGACAAAGCTACATAAATGATTATGGCTATTTATGTTATATTTTGATTCATGTAGTATAGTTTTTATTACTGCGTCTTTGTTAAATTTTAGATTTTAAAGGAACGGCTGTACCATTTTTAAATTGCTTTGTGATGTTCAGAGCATGTTAGTGATTACATTCTCATATTTAAAAGTAAATATGATGGGTTTATAGACTGCATATCATGTTCCATTTTCATGGCAGCCTTTTATAACAACTGTTCCTAAAAAATACCTCCAATCTTAATTATTTTTTAAAAAAACATTATAGCAGTGTATCAAATACAAGATTACCAAGTTAGACCCTGGTGAATATGAACTATGGGTAAGAATTTTCTTTCTTTAAGCTATAATTCTATTAGATGTTTTTGATTTGAAATTAAATTGGAAAGTTAACAGAATGAATAATTATATTTATTCATAGGTCAAAAGTAATAAAGTAGAAAATTATTCTTATTAATATCTGATATCATATCTTGTTCTTTTTCTTTTATCTTTAAAATAGACACTCCCTGACTGTGACATGTCTCTATTAATTTTTTCTGAATGGAATTTTGAGGACCTATAGTGAAGAACTTGCCCTTGTTACTCTTCTCAGTGTATATGTCCATCACGAAGTCTAACCAATCACAAATGCCATTCTTCCAGCAGTGTCTGTATCTGTGTGCCCACTAGTCTGAAACTCACCATCTGTGTCTCTGCTATTGAGGAAATGTGTTGTGCCCCTTAGGTGTATTGTGTGGGAAACATTGTTACCATCTAATAGTACTTATTAAGAAAAGAAGAGGGCTGCAGAAGTCCGGAGACACAGGCAGCAAAAGAATAAGTCCCACAGACTGAGAAGGAAATTTTAGAAACAAGCCAAGAATGCTGGAGAATAAGCTAGGAAGCCATGCAAGGCCCCAGAGAAGAGAGGTTCCAGTAAGAAATGAGTCAGTAGGATGTGATGTCAGAGAGAGACAGGTTAAGATAAAAACTGGAAAATGCCTATTACATTTGAAGTTTAAGAATTGGTGACCCGACTGGAACATTAGAATGGTGTGGGCAGAACAGTATTTCAGTGTTTTAGAAAACAGTTAAGAAATGATAAAATGAAGGCTGCAAGTGTGGGCTCTCAAAGAGTCCTGTAATCTTTTTCCTAAAATTCTATAGAATCTCTGATTATTGAAATTTAAAGGACTTGTAGTTGATGTTAAAAATAGTTAAATAGAAATTGTTCATAGCTAATTGCACTATTGTGAAAAACCTTTGGTTTTATATTAATGTAATAATTTATGTAAAGCTAAATATTTAAAAATTTTGAATAATTAAAGTATAGCTAAATGGAAAGCTACAAATGCTAATTTTCTTTCCTTCTTCTTTTTTAAGTCCTGGCTACTCATGATTCAGCAGACAGAACAACTTAGTAGGATAATGAAGACACATGCAGAGGACCTAAACTCTGGACCCTTACATAGGCTCACCCTGATGATCAAGGACAAGCAGCAGGTGAAGAAAAGTTATATAGGCGTTCATCAGCAGATAGAGGCAGAGATGATCAAGGTTTGTCTTTCCATACTGAAATTCTTTCTTTAATTTGCTTTTTTAAATTCACTGAAATATTTTATCATGTTTGACCTGAAAAATCATCATTTTATAATAAGAAATAGGTTTAGAGTCTCTGACAAATAGCATCTTATTTTATTGAATGTAAAACATTGATTAAAAGATAGGAGGTCAGACAATTAAGTCCAAGAAACTATAGTGGCAAACAGAGACAAGGAAGAAAGAATTTATGAAATAACTACACAATAATTAACAATGTGACAGGAATAAACCACACATGTCAATAGTTTGGGTAAATTCTGCAGTGGAAGCATTTGGTTCTTTTCTCTTGCTCCTTTGAGTCATTGCTTTACCAGTGAGTTTTATACTTTCACATGTTTTCATAATGGTGAATGTCATGCCTTGGTTTCCAAGTTTAGGATTCCCTTGAGCATTTCTTGTAGGACCAGTTGTCATATTTTCTCAGTATTCGTTTATCTGTGAAAGATATTTCTCTTTTGTTTATGAATGTTAATCTTGCTCAATATAGAATTCTTGGGTAGCAGTTTTTCTTTAAGCACTTTTAATTTGCCATCACATTCTCCTCTATCACGTTTCTGCTGAGAGGATTGCTGTGAGTCTTATAAGGTTTTCTTTTTAGGTAACTAGACACTTTTCTATTGCTTATTCTAGAATTCGGTCTTTCACTTTGACTTTAGACAGTTTGATTATATTGTGCTATGGCAAAGTCCTTTTTGAAACCAACAGACTGAATGTTAATGAAAAGTAGAGTCGAGGACAAAACCACAATCAAAAAAGGAAGTGGATAAATGTCTTTCCTCAAAAGCAGAATCTCGCTGTGTGAAAGCACATGTGAACAGAAGGAAAACACAAGCTGCACCTTCTGGTTTCTGATGGGCATGTAAGAGATTTAAGTTTTACCTCCAGTAACTCAATCTGATTTGCACAGTGCAACCTGGAGAAAAATACCCTCACGTTTCTGACAGGAGGAGAAGCAGAGCCTTCTGTTCTTAACAAGGTCTCCCCTCAAGACAAATATTTGAATAGAGACTAACCAGTTGAGGCATTATTTGGGCTTAACTGACCTGAAGGAATGTAAATACCCAACTGCAGCCTAGTCTAGCCAGCCTGTCCCCCCTAGGGGTGGGGGAATGGGGCTGAGAGACATCACTTGTGAAGTGGAATACTGTTCAGCCATTAAAAATAGAGAAATCATGTCTTTGCAGGACACAGATGGATCTAGAAACCATTATCTTAAGTGAAACAACTCAAAGTCACACACTCCACATTCTCACTTATAAGTGGGAGCTAAACAACGTGTACACAGGGGCATGGAGTGTGGCATAATAGTCACTGGCAACTCAGAAGGAGGAGAGTGAGAGTAAAAAATTAATGGGTACAGTGGGCAATACTATTTGGGCAATACTCATACTAAGTGCCCAGACTTCACCACTATACAATACATCCATGTAACAAAACCACACTTGCACCCCTTAAACTTACGTACATACAGACACAGATAAATAAATGAGACATTAGTTTAAGTGCTGGTGGCTGCAGCCCATGTCATAATCACTTCTCAGTTGTGGTAGTGGGAGCCCAACCCCTGAGCATGGCCTAGTTCTATAAGCTGCACCCTGAGTGTCCCTAATACCTAGGACTCGTGCTGCTGGTTCTCAGTCCTGCTGATTCTCAGTAGTGTACACTGTCTGATGAGGGTAATTTAAGAATGGTGGCCAGGCACCATGGCTCATGCCTATAATCCTAGCGCTCTGGGAGGCCGAGGCAGGTATGGATTGCTTGAGCTCACGAGTTCAAGACCAGTCTGAGCAAAAGCGAGACCCTGTCTCTACTAAAAATAGAAAAACTGAGGCAAGGTGATCACTTGAGCCCAAGAGTTAGAGGTTACTGTGAGCTATGACACCATGGCATTCTACCCAGGGCGACAGTTTGAGACTCTGTCTCAAAAAAAAAAAAAAAAAAATAGCATCTTGATGTGGTCAGTTAGGTTTTAGAAAGGGCATGGAATCCCAGGCATGTTCCGTCCCTACAGCAGTTCTTTCTCAGTCTCTCAGTTGGTTCCAAGATGCTCTCCTGTGGTGGATGGTATGATTCCTCAGTGGAAAAGTGGATTGCAGAGAGACACTCACTCACACTCCCCTCCTGGGTTGGGGATTTGCTGTGTGGGCTGCCTGTTTTCCCTCTCCTCCCTAGATTTTGGTGCCTCCTGTCACTTCTTTGAGGGACTACCATGTTCCCTCTTAGATAATGTATTTAAAATGGGATTGTCTGTACATTATTTTGGTTCTTATAAGTGATGGAGGGGTCCTTGAAATTCTCCTAGTCTGCCATCTGGATAAAAAAAACCCAACAGTTTAAATGTAAATATTTAATAGATTTTCTGTATTTTGTTCTCTGACAGGTTACGAAGACAGAATTGGAGAAATTAAAATCCAGCTATCGACAATTAATAAAAGAAATGAATTCTGCTAAAGAGAAATATAAAGAAGCTTTAGCAAAAGGTATGGTGAAATTATGAAAATTATTTAAGTGATTTTTATTTTTACCACTTGAAAGTTATCTTTCTAGACAGTGGAATGATTCCAGTTAGAGGAATTCACATATAAAAAACCTTAAACCAGAGTAGATTAAATTGTCAAACTGTGTAGTAAATTCTACTAATTTCTTGTTTTAAATTAGTCAACATATTTTTGAATAGTTCATACTCAGGAGACTTATGTAGCATTTGTGATAGAAGATAAGGAATATTTAAAATTTTCTTTTTGGCATCGTATTTTCTTATTTAATAAGAAGAATATGGTTGTATGTGTTTAGGAAGCTTTTAAAAATCTTCCTATTACCTGTAGTATTTAAAAACCATTCAAATACCAGCATCATTTTATAGCATTGTGTTATCTTTGTAGCTTATTTTTATGTGTCTATCATGTGTCTTACAATTGTCATAAGAATCCCAAGAAACAAATGGAAAGAGAAGCATCTTATTTATGTTTTAAACAGAGCTTTATGGTTATAGTTTCTTAGTAAGTACTTTTGTAATTTTGCATCTAAAATTGTTTAAATACTAGATGTCAGTGGAAATTAAGCAGAGTTTATGAAAGGAAGCTTCTTTGACTATTGCTATATTTGGGAAGTATTTTCCTTTTCCGTGTGACTGAACGGTTTTCATGTTTACATTTTTTGGCAGAGTTTTTAAAATTTCAGAATTTTGGTTACACAATTTGCTTTTGTACATCTTATGTCAGAGGTAGTGATCCCCACACCTAGAGTGTGTGCATTATACCCATCAGCTGTGAATTAACCCACGCCTACCTACTTGATGCCCACTGAGTTTTACTTCCCTATGTGCATGTAAGTGCTGATCAACTAGTTCTAATTTAGTAATGAGTACGTGTGGTGTTTGTTTTTCTATTCTTGTTATACTTCACTTAGAAAAATTGTCTCTAGTTCCATGTAGGTCAGTGCTTCTCAACCTTCCTAATGCTGTGATGTATTTTCATTGTTATAAAGGGGTTGTGACCGACAGGTTGAGAACCACTGATCTAGGTAGTTAGAAAAGATGTTAGATCACTATTTCATGAATCCACTCATGTATTGATGGACATTTGGGTTGTTTCCACATCCTTACAATTATTAATTATGCTGCTATAAACATTGAGTGCAAATGTCTTTATGATAAAATGTCCTTTTGCCCCCTGGGTGAATACTTAGTAGTGGATTGCTATAATGAATTGTAGGTCTATTGTTGGTTTTTTAAGTATCTGTATACTGCTTTTCATAGAGGTCGTACTAGTTTGCAGTTTCAACGATAGTGTGTAAGAGTTCCTTTTTCTTTGCATCCATGTAACACTTGTTTTGAGACTTTTTAAAAAGAGCCACTCTTACTGGAGTTAGGTGATATCTCATTATGGTTTTGATTTGCATTTCTCAAATGATTAGAGATGTTGAGCATTTTTTTCATGTGTTTATTGACCACTAGACTATCTCCTTTGAAAGTTTGTTCATGTCTTTTGCATACTTTTAATGGGGTTGTTTGATTTTTTTCTTTCTGATTTGCTTGAGTTCTTTGTAGGTGCTGGCTATTGGCCCTTTATCAGATGTATAGCATGTGAATATTTTTTTCACATTCTGTGGGTTAGGTTGTCTATTTACTCTATTGACTGTGTCCTTGGCTGTGCAGAAGTTTTATAATTTGATCAGGTCCCATTTGTTTATTTTGTTGATGCTGTGATTGCTTTTGAGATTTTCTTTATAAATTCTTTGCCTAGACCAGTGGTTCTCAACCTTCCTAATGATGCAATCCTTTAATACAGTTCCTGTGGGTTGTGACCCACAGGTTGAGAACTGCTGGCCTAGACTGATATCTGTAAGAATTTTTCCAATATTTTTATCTAGGATTCTTAAGTTTTGTGCCATAGGTTTAAGTCTGTTATCCATAGTGAGTTAATGTTTATGAGTAGTGAGAGGTGCAGTTCCTGTTTGAGTCTTACATGTGGCTATCCAGTTTTCCCAGCACTATTCATTGAATAGGGATTCTTTCCCCCAGTGTATGTTTTTCTGTTTTGTCAAAAATCAGATGAGAATATGAGGATGGTTTCATCTCTGGGTTCTCTGTTTTGATCCAAAGGTCTATATCTTTGTTTTTGTGCTGGTGCCTTGGTGTTTTGGTTACTATAACCTGATAGTATTGCTTGGAGTCTGATAGGGTGATACCTCCCACTTTAGTCTTACTATGTAAGGTTGTATTGACTATTTGAGATCTTTTTTGATACCATACGAAGCATAGTACTATTTTTTCTACATTTGTAAAAAATGCCATTGGTATTTTAATGGGGATTGCACTAAATCTACAAATCACTTTGGATAGTGTAGGCATTTTAATAACGTTGATCCTGCTGACCCATGGACATGTTATTTTTCCATCTGTTTGCATCCTTTGTAATTTCTTTCCTTGGTGTTTTAGTTTTCTCTATAGAGGCCTTTCATTTCCTTAGTTAAACATATTCCTCTATATTTTATTTTATTTTACTTTGTGAATTGTTTTTTGATGTGCAGCTCAATTCTGTTGCCCGGATTTTATTGAGAGTGTTTGCACCTGTATTGATAAGGGATATTGGTCTGTAGTTTTCTTTCTTTTTTAAGTGTGTCCTTTCCTGGCTTTGATATTCAGGTAATATTGGCATTACAGAGCGAGTCAGGAAGGATTCCTTCTTTCTCAGTGTTTTCCTCTCAGGGCTGCTTTTGCTGTATCCCATAGATTTGATAACTTGTGTCTTCATAATCATTTTGTTCAAAGAATCTTGTGAGTTCCTTTGTTTATTTCCTCATTGAGCCAACTGTCATACAGGATTAGGTTGTTTAGTTTCCATGACTTTGTATAGGGATGGGTGTTTCTGTTGGAGTTGATTTTCTTTTACTGTGATCTGAGAAAATACATGGTATAATTCCTATTTTTAAATATTTATTGACACATGTTTTGTGGCCTAGGGAACAGTCAATCTTAGAGAATGTTCCATGAGCTGATTAGAAGAGTGTATATTCAGTAGTTTATGGAAGAATGTTCTGGAAATGTCTGTTAGGCCCATTTGTTCTAGAGTTCTGTTTATGTTTCTTGTTTCTTAGCTTGTTTTCTGTTTGGAGGATCTGTCCTCTTCTGTCAATGTGGTGTTGAATTCCCGGGTGATTATGTTGCTGCTATTTACTATTTTGTTTAAAGTGAGTAGAATTTGGTTTATGAATCTGACTGCTCCTGCATTAGGTGCATAAATATTTAGGATAGGTAAGTCTTCTTGGTGAATTGTTCCTTTGGCCATTATATAGTGACCATCTTTGTCTTTTCTTCTTTTTATTGATTTGAAGTCAGTGTATCTGATATGAGAATAGCTATTCTGGCTTTCTTTCAGTTCCCGTTTGCATGGGATATTATTTTCCATCCTTTCATTCTCCCATGGGGACAGGGGTTCCCTGTGAGCTTATCACAGGCAGGACCTACACTATATTCTCCCCACTCATCTGCTCCTTTGGGCTCCCTCACTTTCTAAGACCGAGTAGGTAAGTCATAGACCATGCCAGGGAAAAGTGTACCTGCTCAGAGTTGTCGTCAGGGTGCCCGGGCAGGGTTGATATCCCATTGATTCAGGGTATGCTGGCTCTGATGGAGCTGCTGAGTATGTAGCCCCAGAGCAGGACCTTGAGAAGAAAGTTCTGAGTCCCACACCCTGGGGAAACCTCTGTGCTGTGGCTTAGTTGTCTCTTTCAGCATCCATGGGTGGGGCAAGGTAGGGGCAGAAAAGAGACTGTATGGAGGAATGCTGGCAGTGGAGTTGGGATGGTGTCTGCCTTCAATATCTAGGCTCTGGGTCGCAGAAATCACCTGCACTCTCTGGACCCCTGTGGATCCTACAGGCTGGGCTGTAGTTGGGAAATCTATGTGGAAATGAGCAGGGGGAAACCTGAGGAGTTCAAGCCCCCTGGTGAGGCAAAAAAAAGTACATGCTGAGTGGAGACTCAATATGGCACCTGCTATCCCAGTGGGGGTCTGTGGGGTGCGAAGAGCCCCAGGGGCATCAGAACCTTGTGCCCCATCCACAGGCAGTTCCCAGCTCACTGGTGGCAGCAGCCTCTGGGCTCATATGGGCAGAAAGTCTGTCCACCAGCTTGGTAGACCTCTGCTATCAGAGATGTGGGGTAGAGAGAAGAAACTCTTCCACCCACCCTTCTCCCTGCACTACAAGTCTCTCTGGGCTCA